AGAATTCCTTTCCAAAATGGACTTCAGACGAGCACATGGTCTCATGGATACTGCCGGGCCAGCTGAGGTGGTCTCATGGATACTGCCGGGCCAGCTGAGGTCCTCTCCAGCGCGTTGATGCCACCAGAGGCCCAACCGCCGAATTTATGTTTTGATGATTTTTGATGTGTCTTGTAACATGGCTCTGGTTCAAACATGTCGAAACCAGTTGAAACCAGTCGAAACCAGTTGAAACCAGTTGCTGGGACCGGTTGGGGAGGTGTTTGTGGGGGATTGTGCCGAGGCCAGGTTTTTCAAAGCCGTGGGGGATCAGGTGGCCAAAGTGCCAGGCGGACTAGTGACTCGCGCAGGAATCCACAGAACAAATGGGATCCATGTGGTGCTAAACAAATCTAAACAATACGGATCCTGTATTCTTATTGCGTTACCAAACTTTCAGCAGGGGCGCGGAATGTTGTCATATTCACTTCCAGCTCATCACCTAGCAGAGACGGACGCACAGATTTTTCGGCCAAATCAGATATGCTGTTGCATTTCAGAATATTTTGGACGGATATGGCGGTATACAGTATGCTGCGATATGGCCCGCAACTATTGACCCTTGTCATTGGATACAGTACCCTGGTGGTATGGTTTGGTCATGAAAGTTACCAGATCTGTGATTCCGTCGGTCCAGTCGGTGCCCGATGGGTTCAGACAGGTTGAGCACTGCCCATTTGCAACTCATATACAAACATTGGCCCGTCGATCGCAGCAGATTCTCCGGATGCGTTTGCACATTTCGCACTCGCAGCTGCAGAGGCCTGTAATTCGTTCATGCGGCTGTTCTATTTACGCACAGCTTTACCAGAAGGAAAACACGCAAGCACAGCCTCCCCAAATGTCAAATGTCCATGTGAGGATGCATGAGAATGCAGTTGTTTTTTCTGACCAGCGGCAGAGGCTGGCCACTGGGACATCAGCCGTCAGGTTGTTGAGGTGCGCCTTGCGTGAATACAAGTTGGGTTCACCGGCAGTGTTGTTCAAATGCATCGCTGAATGGTTTTTGATGACTTGCGACGGTGGCACAAAACGCATCATGCCAGATTCATTTTGATCGTTCAATCCCGTTAGATCCCGGCAAGTGCCGTATCGACTAGTGCAGTTCCAGTATTTTGTTTTTTGATCACGATGCCGGGCCACAATTTAAGTGAAATGAATGTCCACCTGCCACCCCCTGTAGGCCCTGTGTTTTGGTGGAGCCGCAGCACCCAACTCGTTTGGATCTCAGCTGCAGAATTAGTTGCAAACATGGGACTTACTTAGACGATATTCAGTTGAGGCTGTGAAGGTTGTAAGTTGTAAGTTCTACGTCATGACCTAGTCGCCCCCTCTTTGACCAGTTATAAATGTATTAGCAAGGTATAAGTCATCATCCAGCTATGTTTGGCATGACAAAGTGTTGGATCGGGCAGTCGCACCACAAGCTGAACAAGCGGCTCTTGGAACCAAGGCTCAGCGGCGGAGGCGCGCCCTTGCCTGCCATGGTTGGGAGATGTTGGGCTGGACATCACCCTACAACTTCACAATGGGGTTGAATCACAGCAGTGCTCAAACAATTTCAAACATATAGAAAAAACATCTAGAAACAGATTCCCCTGACTTTCGCACAGTACTTTGGTGAGTTTGCAGCCGTGCCTGAAAACTCTGGATTCACTTGGAGGTGCAAGCGCTCTGGCGCTCAGTGCAGCAGCCAATGGTGCTTTGAATGCGCCCTTGTTGGAGGCGGGTGTCACCACTTGGATATTCGATACACCGATGCGGCTTCGTTCTGCAGAGATTCGGTTGGCCACAGCGATGTGTCAGCCATGTTGAATCATGTTGACATGTTTGAAGGTTACGAATGGCTCTGATGATCTCTCGTGTGCTCTCTCTTTCTCTCTCTCTCTATATGACAAACATTATATTTTTATATATTATATTATTCTGTGTGCAAGAGTTTTTTTTTAGCTTATAGCAGCATGCTTGCCCATTCCCCATTCAATAGCTGTATCCCAGTCCATTTTCTTTGCCAGGCCTTAGTCAGGTCCTGTTCCGTGGGAAACTTGGACTTGGCATGTCATCACGAAAGCTAGCGGTAGCTAGCTGTAGTTACTCTTGCTTCAGCAAGTTGGCAAAGGGAGGGGCCGGTCTGAGTCCGACACAGTGATTTTTCACTCGAACCCCCCCAAGCTCCCGGGGCATTTTGGGGCCGTCTTGGAAGTAGATGGTCATATGAACCTTAGCTTTCGTTCACCCCCCTTTGGCCTCAAGTTTCTTTGTTCAAAAGTGCCCCTGTTGATACGGAAACACCTGGAGAAGAAAAACAAATGGAAAAACGACACCGGACTATTGCAGGATATTGCTGGCCATGTCAAAACACATCAAAACGACCCGGCAAAATACGGGCGTAGGCATCAAAAAAAATAAAAATGCATCAAAAAAAGATAAAAATGCATCCAAAAAAAATAAAAATGCATCAAAAAAAAATAAAGGACGAAAGGAAGGAAGAAAGGAAGAAAGGAAGAAAGGAAGGAAGGAAGGAAGCAAGGAAAGAAAGGAAGAAAAGAAGAAAGACAGGAAGGAAAGGAAGGAAGGAAGACAGAAAGGAAGGAAGGAAGAAAGGAAGAAAGGAAGGAAGAAAGGAAGAAAGGAAGAAAGAAAGGAAGAAAGGAAGGAAGGAAGCAAGGAAAGAAAGGAAAGAAAGGAAGAAAAGAAGAAAGACAGGAAGGAAAGAAGACAGGAAGGAAGACGGAAAGGAAGGAAGGAAGAAAGGAAGAAAGGAAGGAAGAAAGGAAGGAAACAAGAAAGGAAGGAAAGGAAAGAAAGGAAAAAAGAAAAAGGAACCAAAGAAGAAAGGAAGGAAGAAAGAAAAGAAGGAAGAAAGGACGGAGACGAGAAAGGAAGGAAACAAGAAAGGAAAGAAATAATGATGTAATATTACATGCATAAGAGATCATTCAAATTACATGCAGGCATCACCGTAGCAGTTGCGTACTGTTATTTATGTATATGTATATATACATATATATATGCATTTATATACACACTTATATATTTATATTTAAATATATTTATATTATTTATATTTTCTGTTTATATTTTTATATACATAGTATTTCTATTTATGTTCAAATTCAAATATATATATATACTTACATATAGAAATATGTAAATATATACATATACTTGCATGTATATACACTTATATATTATATATTATATGTATTTATATTTATATATTTATATTTACATATTAATATATATATATATATTTATGTACTTATATATATATACACATTCATATGTATATACATATAACTGTATATATATATAAATGAGTATGTATCTACAAGTATATATACTGTATTCCACATGTTTCCAGGGTGCATGTCGTGTAGTCTATACACCTTGAGTATCACATTCAAGCCAGCACCTTGCATGTGAAAATAGGTGTTTCCAATCTGCTTTGGGGGGGAGGCGCTGCGCCCTTCCCCTGAATCCCCCCCTCCCGCTTTTTTTAAACTATTTAAATAAAAAAGAAAGACACTTTTCAATACACTATATAGTTTGATTCGACTATATTCATATTTATGTTAAAATTTATGTGTATATATATACATATATCTAGACATATATATATAGACACACATATATATATACATATATATATATATATGTATATATTTGCATTTATATATGCACTTATATATATATATGTACTTATATAAATGTATATATATATAAATTAATATGTATATACATATCCATATAAATATTTATATAATTGTGTATCTCTCAGTATATATATTTACATAAATATATATATATAAATGTAAATATATATATATATATATTATAATTACACATACATATTTACTTATAGATATACAGACGTATATATATATATGACATATTTGTGGTTGTTTTTATACACAGCTTTGATCCCAAAATAAACTACAAATAATCACGTAATTATACCTACATGTTGTATCCCTAAACCCTAAACCAAACCCTGCATATACATACATGCATACATACATACCTACCTACATACATACATAGATAGATAGATATATATATATATATACATATGTATATAGATTGATTGATTGATTGATTGATTGATTGAAGAAAACCATAGAAAACTTGCAGAAAACCATGGAAAATTGAAGAACACCGGGGAAACATTGAAGAAAACAATGGAAAAATTGAAGAAAACCATGGAACAATTGAAGAAAACCAGGGAAACATTGAAGAAGACCATGAAAAAATTGAAGAAAAACATGGAAAAATGGAAGAAAACCATGGAACAATTGAAGAAAACCAGGGAAACATTGAAGAAAACCATGGAAAAATTGGAGAGGCACGAAACCCAAGAAAGGAAGGGGGGAAGGAAGGAGGAAGGAAGGAAACAAGGAAGGAAGGAGGATATGAGATAACGAAAAGCAAGGAAGGAAAGAAGCAAAGACAAAGAAGAACGCTGCTTCGAAGAAGATACCAAAGAATAATAGGAAAAAGGAAGAATGGCAGCAGGAAGAAGCAGATCGAGAAGGAAGAACGAAGGAAAAAGGAAAAACTTAACAGAAAGGAAGAGAAAGAATAACGATGAGATCTGCCTCGTCTGGTGCTTGCTGTTGGCTCCAGCTTCACGATTGCCGCGTTGCCATGACGAACAAGCAGAGGACCCCGGAGCAGCCGGGAGGTTGTCGAACGGAAAGGGAAAGCCACAAGAGGAACATTGGGGAAGAAACGAAGAATAATCCAAACGGCCCTGTTGTATACTTGAGAGAGAAAGCCTTGTTGCGTGGCCTTGTTGCGTGGCCTTGTTGCGTGGCTTTGTTGCGTGGCCTTGTTGCGTGGCTTTGTTGCGTGGCTTGGCTGCGTGGCTTTGCTGCGTGGCTCGGCTGCGTGGCACGGTTGCGTGGCTTGGTTGCGTGGCCTTCTTGCGCGGCGCGGCTGCGTGGCCTTGTTGCGTGGCATTGTTGCGTGGCCTTCGGCTGCGTGGCTCGGCTGCGTGGCATGGTTACGTGGCTTGGCTGCGTGGCTTTGTTGCGTGGCCTTTTTGCGTGGCTTTGTTGCGTGGCCTTGTCGCATGTATGAGCATTGCGTTATGGAGCACCTTGCTGGGACTCTCCCTCTGAGTCGGTATCCCAAGAGTAGTTGTGATTTAATATGCGCTGGTATCTGTTGGGATCTCAAGAGAGTTCTCCAGACGTGTGATCGCCTCGCATGTATGAGCATTGCGTTATGGAGCACCTTAATGGGACTCTTCGTCTGAGTCGGTATCCCAAGAGTAGTTGTGATTTAATATGCATTGGTATCTGTTGTCTGCTGACAGTCGACCTTTTCTTCGACATCTGACCCTCCCTCCCCTGTCTCCAGACACGTACGAGTCACTTGTATTAGCATACCTCGGAATTTTCTTGTTTGATACGGACCACCTGGATATTGCGGACAGATCGGCAATCGACATCTGACCCTCCCTCCCCTGTCTCCAGACACGTACGAGTCTCACTTGTATTAGCATACCTCGGAATTTATTTTTTTTTGGATGCAAATTTTATTTTTTTTTTGATGCGTGTACCACGTTGAAATCTTGGACAGTTCCATAGAAGTCCAGGGGAATATTTTTTTTTGATGCAAATCAATTTTTATTTTGATACTTATGGGGATATTTTTTTTTGATGCGTTTTAATTTTTTTTTGATCCTTCACCCCAAAATACGTGTCTCGGTATGTCTCGGTTTTTCCCCCCAAAACAGGTGTCTTGCCCGCGATCTGAGGCTGGAGAGATGGATCTTACCCCAGCACACCTGGGGGATTTGCGCCTGGCAGTGGTCCTGGCCAGCGGTGCGCGGGGCCAATCCTGTGGCGCCAAATTTGGGATCACCTCCCGTTTTTGAAGCACTTCGAGATGAAGATGGTGAAGATGGAAATTGTGTTTATAGATGTTTAAATAATTTTAAATATAGTATTATTATGATATATAAATATGCTATTATTGTGTTTTTTGATGATGATGATGATGATAATGATGATGAGCATTTCTGTGGTTTGGATCATCTTGGATCCTCCCCAATCAACATGGGACAGGTGACATAGATTTATTTTGGCACCAGCCATGCCAGGCACATTCCTGTGCTTGAGACATTTGAGACGCAAGTCACCTTTCCCCCTGAGTGAGCAAAGGAAATAGGCAGACGCGGCAGGCCTGCCCCCGGTCTCCAGGTGTGCTGCAAAAAAGCGACAGCCAAGTCTTGAGTTTCCTGCACGGCGCCCAAGCGGATCAAAGTCTGCGCGCGACATGTGCTTCAGTCCGTTTAGGATGGGGCGGTACAGCACTTTGAGCAGTAGAAGATTTTCAATTTTTTTTGGTCGAAAATGGTGGATAATCGGCATGCCTCAGCCAAGTGCAGGCACAGCCAAGCCGCTAAGGAGAACCATGTGCAATGAGGTTCTGCTGGCCCGAAGCCGAGAGTTGATGCAATGAAACCCTGCTAGAGAATCTTGCGCCAAAGGCGCAAAGTTCAGTTTGGTCAAATCATTTTGGGGTGTCTTAAACACCTTCAAACACAAGGTGACATAGGTGACATGAGTTTCCAACGAACGTCATGAATTGACATTTCAAATCGCTTGTTGTTCCCTCCCAGCCCCTTCCCACTGGCACAGGATGATCCAAGGGGAGCTCCGCCTGCCTGGATCCAGTATCCGGACCAACAGCTGTGGAACATATCTCTTTGGCTCCAAAAATCCGACTAACTATGTGTATAATATATATATACACATGTGTGTGTATGCACGTGTGTGTGTGTAGTTACCTAGAGTTGGACGAAAAGAGAACGAGAGAGAGTTGATGATTGTTTGGCTGTCTCAGATTGCACGGGCAGTAGGTAGGTCGTTGCCCTAAACTTGCATGAGGATGTCATCATCCACTGGTTTCTATGGTTTTGAATGGCTTTGGATTGATTTGAAGTGACCGTTTTTCGTTGAAGACAGAGAAACACTTGGTGAACCCGGAGATTGCTGCTGTCAGGACTTCCTGACGGATGCAGAGCACGACCTTTCCCAGGTGGCTAGATGGTCTTGGCGGTTGCAACGCTGGGGGTTGACAGTTGTTGGACACAGTAAAGAAGATCGGAGATCTCCTTTGACAATTTGACATTACATTTGATTTGACAACAAAAACTTGGGCAGGCACTTGAGACCTGCGAATTGAAGCACTGTTTGGAAGCCCAGATCAACCAGCAGGTGCTGTTTCAGGGGTTTGAAGTTGATGGGGGGTTGGAGTGGGTTTCATCAAAGCGGGCACATGTGTGTGCCATTTTGCCCCTGTATGCATCCATATGCCATTTCACCGCAACTATATAACTATATAATATATTATAATATGATATTCCATGATATTCCACGGTTCCATGGTTGCCGTTATCCTTCAACTGCGCTTCCCAGTGGTTCCGGACCAGTGTCAAGGTCGTGGCACTGTGGTGAACGGCGCCTTCTTTCCAGTGACTTGCCACGCAGGGAGCCCTGGATGTCCGCCGACGATGGAGCCGGCCATGGCATGGCCGCATGTCACATGTTGGTGCCAAGGCACTGAAAGCGGTGATTTGTTTAGAAATGGCTGAAGCAGGCTCACCAGTGACTCACTGGTTTCCGCGGCGCCGTGCTGAAAGCGGTCACTTCTATGATTTTTGCAGGTGTCATGTGTATGATCATTTGTTGTATAGGATTTCAGAGCCAGAGACTGCCAGGAGCTGCGTATTTCAATCGCGCAGGACGCTGTACCTGGCAAGTCTGGAAGTGCTCCGGATGCAGCGAATTGGAAACGTCTCTCAGATTGTGACGATGTGGCAGTTCCCTGTGGCAGGTATCGGGCTGCTAGTGCAGCTGGTTGGCGGGTACAACTGACTTTGGTATTGATCTTTGGAAGACCCTGCGATTGATCATAAAGTCGCAAAGCTGTTCTGTGTGATGGACCCTGGGCGCAGATCGAAAGAATTGATAGCCTAGATTCCTTGGTCCTAGATGATTGTGTTGTTGTGATACGCTTGTTGAAATTATCTACCTAGTTGAACTCTGGACAATGGACAGGCCATGGCCCGCATCGCTGCCATCTGGGTCATGTCAGGTGTATGCCATCAGCAAGGAGGACTGGGAGAACCTCAGCGATACCGAGCAGAAGGTCAGCCGGTTTAAGATCTTGAACCGTCACCGCTTGTCATCCCAATTTGGTGTCATAAATGAGCCCAAAATGGTGAATCATCAGTCTCATCTGTGTTAATTTGTGCCATTCCAGGTGTGCCCCACTGCGACCTGTCTAAAATTCAATAGTGCGGGGAGAGATGTTTCTTAACAACCCATGGACGCCTCGCAATAGCACGAGAGACCAAAGAAGAGCACCAGCAGGGGTGTGTCATAAAGGCAAGTGTCGCTTCTGATGAAGCCGATGCATTTGGAGAAGCTAAAATTGGATCAGTCGACAAGCTAACATACTGCGTCAGCCAGTCTCAACCAGTTTGGGCATTCATTGGTTTGACCAAAAACTACAGGACCCCTGAGTTGTAAGTTGGTTCATAATCCCCATCAAGCCCCTTTGAGCATTCTAATTCCGATGGAACTCCTGGATATGTTGCTTCTAAGTTTCAAACCCCTTGGGCCCCTATGTGTATCCATGTAAATAGATAGACAATGATTGATTGATAGATAGATAGATAGATAGATTGTTATAGCCACCATAACACCTGGTTTGCGTAGGGCCTAGTGATAAACCAACTTACCTATCCTTTGAGCCCCTTGCTCAGCTAAAGCAGAACTACAACCAGTGGCATTCTGATCGCCTTGTTCCTTGACTTTGCAGGTGAACTTTGTGCGCAGCCTCTTGCAGGGCCAGCCCTTGGCAACTTGTCTGAAAGAGCGGAGCAATCTGAGAGCTGGCAGAGTTGTCGTTGTGATTTCAATACATCTGTGGTCAATTGTGGTCATACAGGTTGCCAAGTGTGTTTTTAGACTGATGTTTTTGGATGCTGTTGTGATGCTATTGGGTTTGGACTCATGTGGAAGATGTGGGTTCTGGAGTTCCTAAGCGAAATATGCACCGTACCTCAGGACTTAAAGACTCTGACTTCGGAGTAGCGCTGGGCCACACTGTGGGTCAAGTCCCAGAGCAGCGCTTCCATTGGAACTATGAGACGCCGGCGTAAGAATCACCGGGGACGCCACCCAGAAATGTCTCATCTCTTAGCGGTAGCGTGATGGCTCGAAAAATGACCTGGGCTGCAGTCTCCAAGGACAGATATGGAAGTGGCCCAAACTCGAGATGCCGAGTTTCCCCAATCTGTCCAGCTGGTATTGTTTCAGGGCTCGGACGCCATCACCATCATTCACATCTATGGGCGCGTGGATCTTCCGGGCAAAAATTTATAGAATTTGAACATGGCGGACACACGCAGACATACCACGATTTTGATGCTCCTTGGTGATTTGGCTCAAGCTTCAATGAGGTGGGCCACAGCCGCCCGACCCACCCTTTAGTACAGGCCTGAGCAAGGGAAACTTTCGGGACGGAGGGACGGAGGGTCTTGCTGTTGAATTGCAGGGAAGATTTGATGACATGTGGTGAAGAGTCTCGAGATAGTCTCGAGTACGCTTCCAAAGGTCCTTCTTCAATGACAGACGAGCTTCTGGGTGACTTACAAACAACGTTCCTTTTGCAGATGTTGTGAATGTTTTGCATGGGACAGGCTTTGATGACCACGTCCACTGGATCGAATATGATCGAATAGAAACAGACAGACTACAATAGACTGACTATGATGCTCGGGCGAAGGCAATTCAAGGATTTCCGCACCCACAGCATTGCGCAGTTGACAAACGAAGCTTCCGTCACTGTAGCGAGATCCAAATTAATTAGTCATTTTGACCGCCGGCTCATTCCTTCGTTCCGTGCGGTCTCCTTTGCCAGGCTCAATGGAGCGCTTTGATGAGGGTGGCCGGACCACCGCGAAGTTTAATTGGAGCAGGTCCGGCCAGAATATTGCTAGGGCAGACAGCTGTTGTCACACGGACAATGTATGACAATGTCATTTTAGGTAATGTTTAATGTTTTAAGTTCAACGGGTAAGTTCCACCCGTGCTACTGTCAGGTCTGCATTTGCCAGTGCTGCCAGCAAAGTCAGTCTTTGCCCTAGCTGCGTGATCTCATTGACAAGGTTTAAGCCGACATTTTGTTGATGAGTGTGGACAGAGGAACAGAGAACAGGAGACGAAGACCCACTAACTCCAACAGTCTAGCCTGCCAATGAGCATCCCCATCGAAAGTTGATTTTCTGATGAAAATTGCAATTTCCGATGCCAGCCTTGTGTACATTTGTGTGCTGGACGGTGCAACGGATGCCTTTCTGATTTCCTCCAAGTCCGGAAGTTCAAGCAGCACCTTGCGCCACTGAAATCTGAAGGTACACAAAACATTCAGCCAACAGCTGCTGCAGTGCCCCGGCCGTTGCCAGATGACAAGGCGCGCGGCCGAAAAGGCCCCAGATCTTTGGAGCCTGAACCCGAAACCATCCAAATTTACGTTTGGCATACTCATATTACTTGCCACTCGCGTCTCACACTTTTGTCTTGCCCCTCAGTACGGACCTCGTTCGAAGGCGATGGATAGAGAGAAAGAAAGGGGGAGAGAGAGGGGCAGACGAGTTATTACAACATATATAATATATAAATTATATAATATATACAATGTGAATTTTTGTTGAACACCACATTGGGTGACTTTGGCGCTAAAAAGATCGTTTTTGAGCGAAGCTGTTTCCCACCCAGCGCCGAAAAAAGGTCGCGGCCACTTTAGCCGTGGATCCGGAGCTGGGCGCCGGGCTGGAGGTGAGGATCAGCAGAACCATTGGACCATGAGCACAACACCAGCAATATCAGCAATCACATGTAAGTAATATGTGGTAATTTATGAAATAAGAGCATACTACTAGCTATCAAGAATAGGAGGGGCCGAATCAAGCAGAAATGGAGGTCTCCCTCTATTCACTCTACTGACTCTGGCTTCATGGAACTCCAGTTGTCCTCCAGGCAAGCCATTTCCACGTTCATGGGGCATAATTTTAATAGCAAGACACAAGGGGAATGGCAACTTTTTGGTAGCAACATGGCAGTTGCAATCCAGGACAATTTTGCACTTCAATAGGTGTTCGGTTAATATAATCGGAGCTCATGTTTGCCAACCCTTTTTTAGGGTGTGAATGTGCCAGGGCAACAGAATGACCCACACCCATGCTGGGGTTTCATGCCTTTGCTCAAGTTTCAAGCTGAGCTTTTGACATGCCCAACGCTCTTTGACAAGGAATTCGCTTCCCACTATCTACCAGTCACTGCAGATACTGCAGTTGCATCAAACTCGATGCTGATCATCCCTGTTCACTGCAATGTGCGCACGATGTGCCAGGTGGAGTTTGTGGAAGGTCAAGGCTACCGCGTGGAGTGTCTTGACTTTACACCAAACAAATCATGCAAGGAAGCTTTGAAGGGCTTCTATGGCCACCGATGATTGCAAGAATGACGCCACGCATCTCAGATATCTTAGGCGAGATCTGATGTTTAAGGTGTGATTCAGGGTTTTAAGTTGGCTCAACAATCATGTTCTCATAGCTTTGCTGAAGTTCCTAAGCCTGAGGTCCATTCGCCCATCCCCCGGGCAGCCTTCCATGCGCATGGGCGATTTGTTGGTGTCGGTGAACGGTCGCAGCCTAGCCCTGACCAACGAGGTGCCCTGGCTGGGTGGTTTTGGGGTGTGCTTCATCATTCCACTTATCGAAACAACAAAGAATCAATGTCAAGATCACGAACACGCATACTGTATATATATAGTGTATATACAATTATGTTATATATATATATATAAACAATATTTATTCACACCTGGATCTTCAATTAGCACTTTCTGCTCATAGCATTTTCTGGTTGGATTTACGCTCATTCTGACTTTCAATGCTCTCTCGAACTAAAAAAATGCGCATTTGTGTCCTGAAGGACGGGTATTTACGTCTTTTTTCCCTGGGTATGTATGCTCATCTCCCAGGTAAATACGTTTTGGAATGTTCGCTTCGATGTGCACAATCTGGAAACATGCCGAGAGTTGTCTCAAAAAGCAGAATTCTCTCAAATGAGCAGCTTTTAGATCTCTTGGGTCTTTTAGAGGATGCAGGTGTTGCCGCCATTCATCACACATATCACCACTTACAAACCGGTCGTTGTGCCACACACAATCAGCATTGATACTCGATGATACTCGCCTAATATTCATCATTCGGGAACACCCCATCATTCATGGGATCCCCATTGAGATCCCCGTTGGATTTCTCTAACATCCTCAAGAAAATCAATAAAGATCCATGATCCATTAACAATCCACCAAAACCCACTTCCCAAAACCTCCGCGAAAATCAGTGGGACATCTCCACCCCAGCCATCCTACCAGACGCAGGATGATGCCGATGAGGTCCTGGCCAACGAGCTGCGGCACGGCGTCCCGCTGATCCTGCAGCGGCCAGCGGGCGACGAGCCGGTGGAGCCAATGGATCCTTAGTTCAATGGCCATTTCAGCTACCCATTTATGGATTTTATGGGAGATTATGGGAGGTATCTACCATATATTAATATAAGGCCTGTGTGATACAGTGTTAAAACCTCCATTTGTAGAGGGTTTCCCGAGCTACAAACCTTTTTTGATGGATTTCCCATAGACATGAATGCATTTTCAGTTCCAATCTCCACCACTACCTGGAGGATCATCTCAGTTAGTAAGTGGTTAATAACTTAACCCTAGCTCATAAATTTCCATTCAGTGGGGGTTATCCCATATATAAGTGGGAAATTGTTGGTCATATGAAGGCCTTTATCATCCTTATATAACTTATACATGTATCTTTTGATGTTTCTGCTCACATTCAGAAGTGCAAAGAAGATCCTTGACAATTTGAGACGGGGAAGGGATTCTGGGGTGGCCATTCGAACGTAGTCGAAACTTCAGTTCATTTCGCTGGAGATGACGCATTGTGCCCATTGTGCTCAGGCCCCCGAAACTATTATGGTCCCAGAGGCCAGGTGTACAGCTACTGGACATTATTGGACCGTTTTCAGTTTGAAGATGTTTGAAGTCGTTGTCCTGAAGCCATTCTCAATATTGATCGGGTTTGATTTTTGAGCTTGGACGTTTTTGTAGGTCACCCTGGACGGCAACGCAGCCAGACTTCCGGGGTCATCCGTCCATGCCAGGCCTCCAAATTGGCGGCTCCAGCTGCAGACAGACCAGAAGAAGCGCCGGCTCCACGGTCATTGGCAGGACAGGGCGAAGGCAAAATGTACTGATGGTGCTGTAGACCTTCACAATGCTTGACAAATTCAGGCAATAAATATATAACCAACAAGCATGGTGATTTATTGTGAACATAATTATGTACATACGAGTAATGTGGAAGTTTCAAGAAGGAACATCATTCTGTCTCAAACATGGCCTCCAGAATGGCCTCCAGAGCCATCTCCAGCCTAACCCGTCAGGACTTCTCAACAGTCTTTTTGGTGCGCCAGACAGCACGGGCGTTGGCCGCGACGCTGACAGAGAGGAGCCCGGTGGCGAATGGCCGGGCTCAAGGCCTTCAGACCAAGAGGCTGGGGGCTAGCTGCCTGTCACTGTCATTGCAATTTGCATTTTTAGGTAGATAGCTAGATAGATAGATACAGTAGATAGATAGATAGCTAGATAGAATAGAATAGAATAGAATAGAATAGACAGACAGACAGATAGATAGCTAGATTGATAGAATAGATGAAATAGATAGAATAGATAGAATAGATAGAATAGATAGAATAGATAGAATAGAAAGAATAGATAGAATAGATAGAATAGATAGAATAGATAGAATAGATAGAATAGATAGAATAGATAGAATGGATAGATAGATAAAAATAATAGATAGATTAATAGAACAGATAGATTAATAGAATAGATAGATTAATAGAATAGATAAATTAATGGAATAGATAAATAAATAGGTGGATAGGTAGGTAGATAGATAGGTAGATAGATAGGTAGATAGATGGATAGATAGATGGATAGATGGATGGATGGATTGATAGATAGGTAGATGGATAGATGGATAGATGGATAGATGGATAGATGGATAGATGGATAGATGGTTAGATGGATAGATGGATAGATGGATAGATGGATAGATGGATAGATGGATAGATGGATAGATGGATAGATGGATAGATAGATAGGTAGGTAGGTAGGTAGGTAGATAGAAGGATAGAGAGATGGATAGATGGATGGATGGATGGATAGATAGGTAGATGGATGGATGGATAGGTAGATAGATAGATAGGTAGGTAGATAGATAGATAGACTGATGGATGGATGGATGGATGGATGGATGGATGGATGGATAGATAGATGATAGATGGATGGATGGATATATAGGTAGATGGATAGATGGATGGATGGATGGATGGATAGATAGGTAGGTAGGTAGGTTGGTAGGTAGATAGATAGATAGATAGATCGATAGATAGATAGATCGATAGATAGATAGATAGATTAGATATTGGTATGTTATGTCTTAATATAGCCAACACACACATGTATACATACGATGTATATTCTTTGTGCCAACGGCCACAGCAGAATCAAAGTGTAAATGAACTTTCGCGATGGCGGTTCTGTACTTCTCAAGGCATGATGCACAAACAGCAACCCCAAATCCAATGATGTATTGACATTTGTGGGACCGATGGCAGATGTTAAGTCCATTTGTACAATTTGACAATACGTTTGCTGGTGCTCAGGGCATTTCATGACCAGCATCGTTTTGTTTTCTCCATATTTTGCCCCTCGCGTGGAACAGGATGACAACGATGACATCGAGGTTGTGGCACCTGCATGGCCTCAAGTGGAGCAACAGGAGCAACAGGAGCAACAGGAGCAACAGGCGCTATACGGCATATTAGGGCCATGTGGCGGTCATGGCAATGACAAGCAGTGCACATTGAAGTTCCTATTTTGATCATTGTCCAATGTCTTCCACCTGTCTTCAGAAAATTCGTATTTTGGGCAGCTCGAAAAGGTTAGATTTTCTTTGATTTTCTCTACTTCCAGAGATGGTTCGCCATGATTCCTCAACGTTCGTGAGCAGTAAGCAGTAGAGTAGACGTTGGAAAATTGACATGTTGTCAGTTGTCAGGGTGTTCATGGTGACTTGGCCACTGCCTCATTTCGTAGGCAACGCTACCTCCACTGGCAGAGGATGAGGAAGAGGAGGAGTTGCAGCCGCATAGCATTTGCTTGTGTGCAGCAATCGGTGCTTGCTGTATCAGCATGTGTGAAAAGCTGTGATTTGTTTGGTCTGTTTGTTGCCAATGACAATATAGATGTATCATCTTTCAACACGCACGCACGCAAATTATATGGATTCATATGCAACACACACACATACACACATGTATATTATATGCGTATGTGTAAACTGAGGTCTTAGAGTCTTGTCCTTTAAGTGTTTTGCCATGGCAGGGATTCCCTGGACAGGAGGTCATGGTCTTCCAGTCGAGTCCGCCAGATCCATCGGTCGAGGTGGGTTGATCTTTTGCTCGTCACCGGTCACCTGAGATTTCGACCTGAAAGGACCCATGCCACCAGAATATGCTGCATTTTCATGCATTTCCTCCATATATGTATATTATATATATATATATTTGAATTTATTTACATTTCATTTTATTACTATAATTACATATCACTGTCACCACTATAGTTGTTTGTCCAATCTTTGCGTGCCTGCCCAGCTTTGACAGCTCCAATTCTCAGCGCTGCCAGGGGCCGGATGTGGATGACGTAGAGCTCGACAAGCCGCGTGAGGAATCCATGAAAAGGTGGGTGCTCGGCATTTGCCATGGGGAGATACAGATGGATAAGAAATACGACCAGCGTTTGGCGCAGAATCATGCAGAATCAACAACACAGTGGTTACAAAACCAACAAGAAAATTGCAAGTTAATCTGACATAAACTCCCAACAATGCGTGATTCAGTATGATTTCTGTGACTCCAAGAATCCATCAATATTGATTCATGGTTAAAGCAAAACTGACAGATTTGAGGTCTTTTATTTGCTGGAATACCGACTGAATATGTTTGGTACCATGAATGGCTTTGGCATAGGTCACAACTTCAACCAGAAGTGGGTGAAGATACGCAGCAAGAGGCTCTACTTTCCGAGTCCGAAGGCGCGGACTGGTCACTAGTCATGGCCAACTTGGCAGTTAAGACGCTTAAGATGGTAAGATTCAGCTTCGAAAGTGGAGGCATGCGAAGGCATTTCTAAACTTGAACATGCAATAACATGCATGTTTATGCGTTTGTTTATGCGTTTGTTTTGTGGTGGTACAGTAACGAGCTGGAAGCCCTGGGCACACCAGGCTTGAAGGTGCAGGAGGTTCCTGAAAAGAAGGCATGCCGAGCTGCCATGCGATGCCATGCGCATGTCTCCTTACAAAGCATCAAACAGCTCGTTGTATAGGGGTTTGATGGAGTTTGTGTATGTTTGTGTCTTCATGGAATGAACAGAAAACTCCATTGCTCCAGTAGAACATGCTCGAACTATCCGACAAATTAGATGGAACACTGCGGCCTCTCGGGTATAGTTGGGCGTTTCTGTGACGAATTTCTGTGTACCTTCCGTGATGGCCTTGACATCCACAGGACCCTCCGGCAGAACGCAGCCCACCACGCAGCACGGTGCGATGCAAAGTGCCGGACCTGGAAGACTGGTTGCAGGACCTGGAACGACATGAAATCATCAAAAATAAAACAACGATGTATAATGCACAATCATGTGCTAATTTCCGTAATAAATTTGGCAGAAAAGAGCACCTAAGCTAATATGGGAAAACCAGTGCAATACCTGAAATGGATCCCATAAACTGTCCCAAATCGAGGATTTATGTTTATTATTATATATTATTATTTTTTTTTACTATTATCATCATTACTGATTATTGATTATTGACTATTGATTATTGATGATTATTATTATTATTACTATTTGATTATTATTGTTATTATTATTACAGTATTATTATTCATTATTTTTATTGTTGTTCTTCTTATTATTGTTATTGTTTGTTATTGGGAGTGGCATATCGTTTATTTGAACTCATTCAGAACCCCATAGGTCTCATGGAATTGTTGATGTGTTAGCAAGTTAGTCTGGGATCCTCCCACAGGGTCAGGATGTGCCAGGAGCTATGCTTAGAAGAGTACGTAGATGCTGCAGCCAAGTGGTGTGCAGAGATGGGTGCAGTTTCTCTTGAAGAGATCGCTGAGAACATTGAGGACTCCCACCCTGGTCAGGTATGTGGACGGTGTTGAGCAAGTGTCACATAGTGTTATGGAGATCACAGGTGTTTAGGATTGTTTAGGAGTTGTGATGAGTTGTGGTTTCATGTCATTTTCTTCATATTTTGTTTTTTTTTGGTGTGAGCCAGGCTTGAACCAGTTGAGATCTCGCAGAATCTTCTTAGGACTTTGGTGCGGATGTCTCCTTGAAGCCCATCGAGCGGCAACGTGTACAGAAATGGGTGGCAACCTCGGACAACAGCTGAGGGAAGGATGTCGCAGGGCACATTTGATTCAAAGATCACAACTTGGTCATGGCCGATGTGTCATCTCTTGTCATCTCACATGGTTGGTGGCTTGAAATGCAATTATTCATGCTTGTTAGTTATTCATATTTATTTTAGGTCCCGATTGGGGCAGAGAGACCTACCTTCTTGACCTAATATGAGTCGATTTCCAGCTGCAGTGGGTTGACACCATCAGCCAATATGATGCTGTGCTTATTCACCTGCGCATCAAGTGTTTGGTGCTGCATGCCTGGGTACAGATCTGAAAATAGGGCAACCCCCATGAACCCCCATGGTTACCTTCATTTTCCCATCAAGATTATGGATAACCCCATTTTCATACACACCCAAATGGTGTTGTAATGTGTTGTATAATCATCCACCTACATCCAGGTTGGGTGATGTTTCAGGGATAGCCACTACATGCCACTACCCTCAGCCTGCTAGGCCGCTCAGAAGCTTCAGGGCGCCGTGCCACTGCGGACGTTGGCCTTGGAGGAGGGTTTGGTGAACCATGGGAAAAGAATCACATTCCCCAAGTGTTGAGCGGCAATAAATTGGGCCAAGTCAATCCAAGTCATGGTAAGTCCTCTATTTTTAATTGTTGACAATCGCACATGTCGTTGGGTTCTTTAGTCATCAAACCAAAAAATCTACAGCCCCGTGTCAGGAGCCCAGCCGTCCCAGCCGTGGTGTTCCCAGGGGGACTGTGCCACAACGCAGTGACTGGATGGCAGAAAGTTGTAGGGCCGGGGCCGGCGCACCAGGCCATTCTCGAAGTTAGTAGATCCATGAGATGATTTGATGATCGCCCTATGATGGTTGCTGCACCTTAGAATCTTGGCACAGTACCTTTGTTCTTTTCTGTTCGGCGAGGAATTTGAGAATCACGTGCGCAATAGCAAATCAGATGCACAAATTTGCCACCGTTAGGTGGCCCTGCGTGGTTGAGTCGGAATGACAGCAAACATCAATCAGTACCGTCCCCCATTTCCCTGACATAAGCCATGTAATACACGGCTGGCCCAACGTGACACCCGGTGATTTGATGCGGTGCAGAGGTCTCCCAGGCCTTTGGAACGAAGCGCCGGAGTGGGACGAGCCCAGCTGGAACCAACAAGCTGCCGCCCGGGAGAACCCGGTGTACACGGCACGCAGTGTACGCCTAGCGGTGGATGCACAAGGCAGGGGCACAGCGGGGGCCATTGAGTTGTGAGCTGATGGATTTCGAACACCAAGGTTGAAGGATGTTGAAGGGCTGCACTTGAAAGTAGATGAAACATGATGAAAGCACTGTAGCTTTGCAACTCACCACTCGCCTTCTTTCATGTGAGTCCGATAATTTGGTGTTTGCACAAACTGATATGCATAGTATCTGAATGCCTTATGCAATACTTTTACTTTCCATGTTGGAAGGTGATCCAATCGACACTTGCTGCCAGGCAATACGGGCTTAGAGCCTTTGACGCATTGAATGTCTACATTTAGACTATTAGAATCTATTAGAATTGAATATACTGTTGAAATCTGTTGAATCAATTTGGAGATGAGTTGTTTTTTTGTTTTTTGTCTTCTTGTTTTCCATCAGTGGGTCTTTCGGTCTTGACCGTCTCTGGCCCGCTGTGGTGCCACCGAGGATCTTCGTTTTGATGAGGATTGGGGCATCCGTGTTCAATCTGTGGATCCTCTTCCTGGACAGCCGGGATTAGCCGAAGGAGACTTCATCGTGGCCATTGATGGTGCGCAGAATTGCTGGGTTGGGAGGACAATTCTAGCGTGGGTGTGCGAAAAAATCTGGAAGGCTGCGAGAATCGGGTTAATTAAAGGTATTGAAGTTGCTGTGGCATGCTCATGTCACATCATGTCATCAGTGTACATCAGTGGTTAAGCTCAAGATGTTCCCACAGTGGGGGTGTGCTGCTTCACACCGATCCAGTGAGCGACCCCAAGATACCCCAAGAACACTTGGCAGGACCAGTTGGGCGAGTTAGGAAAGTAGACCACCTAATCAAAAACATCCAAATTCATCCAAATACATCCATCCAAATACTACGTGGCCTATAGTATTGCACCAAAACCGCCAGAGAGATAACACCCAGGTTTAACTTATTTAACACGTACAATATCCCCTGGACTTGGGTATTTTTCCCAATGAATTTCAACATCTTCCACAGCTGCGTATCTTCACATCTCATGTTGGCAGCAGATCTTGAGGCTGCTCCTTGAGACATCGGAGCCACGAAGAATGCGATCAGGTTTTCTCCGAGCACTTGCAGTGGCTGGATGGCACATGGCATGGGCGTCACTGGAGGTTCAATGGGAACATCATCTATGAATGAATGGAGATTGCCTATTTCCAAGTCTGATTTTGGGCAGGTATTTGTGGAATACTGTGGGTGCATATATATATATATGCATATATTAAAAGAAGCGCGAAGGGCATAGAACGATGACCCGACACTGAGGGCTAGTGACGGCTAATCATACATCAGGCAAGCCAGAGGTATGAAATCCAACATTTTCAGTGCCGAGGAATGGTGCCATTCTGAGCGTTGTTCGATGTTCTGCACCCCGGGAGTCACACACCATGCTGGCGCAGACGGCGGGATACAGCCGGAAGTGTCTCAGTCGCAGGAGACCAAGGTCCAAAATGCTGAAATGATCCCTTTAGACCTTAGAGTTAAGCAATGGTGCATAATTAACGGGGTTTATTCCGGGGTTACATCATGTTACATCCTGCTACCAACGAAATTCAGTGGGACAACTCGAATACCTGAGATTATATCATCCAATGTGGGAGCTTGTCATGAAGGAATCGGCTGACGGTCGATGGTGGTTGCACGTCCTTTCTCGTTCGAAACTTCATTCAGACAGGTTTCGGTCAATTTGCAGACCTGGATCATGCATACCCTCCAGACAGACAGATGTGACATTCAAAGCACGTGATGTGTGTTGATGTATTCTGTTGATATATTCCGTATTTTCCCTTTTCCCCCTGGGGGCGAACAAGAGCTCAATAGGTTTCCCTGGTCGTCATGTCTTCAAATTGGTTGGGTTCCCCAAATCCCATCATAGTGCATCCAGACTTCAAAGCTTCATTTTTCGTCACCATTATTGGTGATCTCCAAAGCCACTCGTATTTGAATGTATTTGGCTGGTTCCCATCTGCCCCAAGCGCCTGCTGTGCTCGTCCCCAAGGACCGATCTGGTGCCCAACTGGCGTTTACCGCGGCCCGATTTTCGGAACAGCCCAGGTTGGAGCCGGCAACGGCGAAGCGGACACGATGCGAATCGCATGTGGAACCGCTTCAGCCATAGACCACCCTGGTGAAAGAGAAAAAGGGGCCAGTGATGTCAGGAGTTGTGTCAATCGTTGAACAAGAAAGATCTTGATATGGTAAAACTCCATGTTTCGACAAACACCATGTGAGTATAGCAGTGGATGAGAAGTGGATATCATCAGATGAGCAGTGGATGACTTGTGGATAGCTAGGATTGGTGAGTGATTGTTTAGTGGATGGTGGATATCAGCGAAAGAAACAAGTTGAGGGTTCCCTTCATGGCTAACCCTTGATTCCGGAAGTGCATGGTGGGCTTCATCCAGTCGTCGAGGGGGATGGGCCTGCACAGCCTGCTGCTGTCGGCGCTGCCATTTTCTTTGCTGTGAGTCAGAATCAGCAGAATGAAGAAACAAAAATACCACAGACGGGAGGACCTTGGTCAGAGAATAGATGTCCAGTCCTGAAGCGCGTGTCTCATGATGTCTGGTGACTTTTGTATTTTGATTTTTCTGCAACCTTGGAGACCCTGCATGATCCAGGATGAAGTAGGTGAGCTGTTGAGGAGCTGTTGCAGCAAATCCATTTCATTGCACAGAATTCGCTGTCGAACCTTGTCCAAAGCGCCCTGCTGTGCCCTCCAACATGGCTTTGGCACGGGGCTTACGAGCACAGTGAAAGGAGTCCCTTTATATAATAACTAATAACAAGTCATATAATATAGTATAATACAATATAATATAACAATATATCATATAATATCACATAATATCACATAACATAACATAATACAATACAATAATAATTTAAGACATTATAGCATAACAAAATATGATATATATATAATTTAATATAATATAACAATATTATAATATCAATTATATGATTTAATTTAATTCAATAATATATATACATACGTCTTACGTCTATTTATATATTTTTTTTATTCATATATAATCCAATAATTAATCCATGCAACATCCATAATATAGAATAAACTAGCATATAATCCACAACAATCCAACATAATTCACCCATAATCTCAATATAGACGCATGTGCACTCCGATGTCATATCTGTCCCCGTTACAAGCCTTGAAAGAATTGCGTGGCCAAGGCAGCCAATCCAATCCCCAAGGCTGCTTTGTGTACGAACTCAAAGGCTGGACTGAGAGTGCTAGCAGCTGTGTGGACCTAGGAACGAGTGGGGGTGATGGACGCATCTTGACAAATCTGGCAAATCGGACAACCAATGGATAATAGAACTAAAAATTAGAGGCAACCATTTGTGGGAATTTTGACAATGATGGTAGACGTAACCTTTTAACTAATGTAATAATTGGATGGCAGTGGTTGCCATTTGATTCGTTTGCACTGAGTTCCCTGCTCCGCAGCGAAGCTACACAACGAATCCGCCAAAGTGCGAGGAAGAGTCACGATGGACTTTGGTGGAAATGGTCCATACGATGCACAACCAGAAGGTCATGAGCATAGGCTGCAATTCATTGTATGATCATACTTTTCATTTAAGCAAAAGTTATTGGCTACCTGGTTACCAGTACCCTCATCAAGAATGAAAATGCTAGCAACTTGAGACTTCGATGGCCTTTGCATGTGCTACAGTTCCATTCAGCCCAGATGAGAATGGTGCAGTGTCAGTTTCTCCGTGAATTTCCACACTTTCACCCCCAATGAATCGCCATGGTCGATGCCTTTGATCGGAGCCATGGCGGATGGAACGGCCGCAGCGGCCGGCGGCCGGATCCCTTGCGACGGCCCGAAGAACAAAAACGGGCGCCCAGGGCATCGTCTGAGGGATGTGTTCGCCGGCGTCCACAGACCACGCAGGTCACAAAACCACCTGCGCAGTGTATGTGGGTGGATGAAAGACGTCGAACCAAGGCTACTGACACCAAAAAGTCTCAGCCTTCTGTGTCAGAAGACATCTATGATCAAGTATCTTCTTTAGTTGAGGAGCTTGAAGCAGCTCGTGCACGTGCAATGGCTGCCGGTGGGCAATTGCCTCGTGCAGTGGAAGCTGCTGCATCTGCCTTGGAGCCTTTGCTGCGATTGCGCGATGTCACTGGGGCGGCCTGTGACCTCACCGCCATGCCATGGCTGCCACAGCTGCTGTCGGTCTTTCGGAACGTGCTCCGGACGGCCGTGGGTGGCGTGGTCCGTGCTGATGCGGCCGCCAGCGATTCGGCCCAAGGCGTGGCAGCTGCTGCACAAGCAGCCGCAGCTGCCGCAGCAGCGATTTCTGCTCTAGGTGCAGGTCCCCAGGGCTTGTCACGGATGGAGTCTGACGTTCTCCGGGATCAGCTGAAAAAACAGGATTCTCAGCTCAAGATTGCTAAGCAAAGAGAGATTGAGCTGCAGCAAAAACTGGATGAAGTGCAAAAAGAAAGAGACAAGTTGTTGAACAAGGAGAGCGATGGTGGCAACTGGTTCGCCAAGCGTGTTGTGGATCTCGAACGCGAAGCCAGTGAATGGAATGCTGAAAGGCAATCCGTGGATGCCCGGATCAGTCAGCTGGTGGATATCGTCAGTGCAGCGCTGGAGGACAAGCCCCTGCGCCGCGAGCGCAAGCATGTCTCACCCAGGAGCTGAAGCAAGGTCCAGTCCAGTTGGCCATGGATCCGAGAACGTTAATGACGTCATATGACGCCTCCCGAAATGGCCAGGAATGAGAGGGAAAATTGAAGTGGAAGATTCTTTCATGATCTTGCGTCGGTGTGCTGTTTGGACAGTTCGGAGGGGTGAGGTTTGAAAATGTTTGGATGATTTTTCTTCACTTTTGTTGTTTGTTCACGTTTGTTGTGAATGCCTTGTAAAGAGTTGAAGCACAACTCTAAGATACTCAAGGGCCAAGGGCTAGGGCACCTAAACCCAGAGTGCTGCCAACACTTTAGCCTCCGCCAGGACAAGCACCAGGCAGAAGATGCTGATAGGCTCACTGCTGAGCTAGCCATGCTGTAAATTTCCTTGATACAAGTAATTACAAGTGTCCACTTCATGAGTTCTTCACAAGACAATTGCACTATATTATATATCGATCATTATTGATCTATATTGCACTACTCAACTTTTTTTGGGTCATTGAGTCATTGATAGTCATTGCCTCCCAGGGTCCCATGACTCGAGGTGCCGTGTGAAACGAATGTCTGCTGAGTTGGTCTTGGAGATTTGCAAGGAACGTTCCATGTGGCCAGCAGCCCCAGAAACGCTGAGTTTTCAAAGCTGGGGAACATGGAAATTAGGAACATATGGAAGAGCATGACGAGCATTGACGAGCTATGTTTTCAAGATTTTTCAAGAACAAGAGTATGTCAACTACTTGTATTATTTGGTTCAATATGGTTCAATATGTTCAATGTTGGACGTGTACATTACTCATGGAGATCCTGCAAGCATGTGCTGTGCTTTTAAACATTTCCCATTGCTTCGTGAACTTGCCGCAGCTGGTTGTCCTGTCCTAGGGCACAGCCGCATTTGAATACACAGCTCTACTTGAACTACAAGGGTGCGCCAGCGCTTGTCCCATCTTGTCCGCGCATTGTCACAGACTGTTTCCCACCCTGGTGAACCTTCACAATTCTACAGGACTCGGAGGCTTCTTGAGTTGGTGGTTTTGGCGGTTTATTCACCATTGTTCCGTCCCTACTTGAGATTATTGAGATTTTTGATAGATTTTTGGTGCAGCTGCAACGGAATTACGTCTGGGATGGGTTGAAGATGTTGAAGTTATCATCTAGTGATGGTATATAACTATAAGATCTGCAAAGTGATTCTTCCCCAACAGGCTTCTGATTCAGCGTCCTTGCAGGCTTTGAGACGATTGAGGGTTTGGAAGCTTACATCAACATCCGGGTCTCCTGGCTGAGCAGAGGGGCGGCGTGCAAGGCATGTGGTCTATGGAATTAGGGTTTTCGGGGATTTTGGCGTATTTTTACCGTGTTTCTTCCATGCCCAAAGTCAGCTCGATGCTGAGCTCTGGTTGAAAGCAGCATTCCCCTCCACTCAAGCCTCGTGCCCGGTCTTTGCATTCTCCGACGGCCAGTCTCCAAGGCCCTGTACCTGGGCAGCAACAACATCGAAAAAATCGATGGTTCGAATCTTAGACTGGGACCGCTTTCAACTTGTTCACCGCTTAGCAGCCACATTTTCAACGATCGCCACGGGTGGTGCGCACGACAGGTTTGCAGGGCATGAAGGACCTTCGTAGCCTGCAGATAGAGGGCAACCGCATCAGGTGTGCCAGTTTCAGCGCAACCAAGCGTTGGGGATGGACATTCACAAAGAATGTGTTAGAGAAACCAGATATAACCAATCCACCAAAACATATGCTGTAAAATCAGAAGATGAAGTTGATCAAACCATATCAAACCAGAAGATTAACGAGGTTGATCCTCCCGGACAGTGTTGAAGGCACGAATCTCCATGACCTGAGAGGTGCATCGAGAACTTGACCTCCAACGTGGAGCTACGTCAGCTGAACCTGGAGTTCAATGCCATCAGGCAGAGTAGCGATGCTTTTTAAATTGAGCCTGGCGAGGAATTTTTCTAACCTGGGCTAAATGAGGTTACTGTAGATGATGCTGGATATTGTTGGATGACATTGCTGCAGTGACATGACTCATGGTTCACATATCTCTCAGTAGATTCATTTCTGGTGTTTTTTCATCAAATGTAGGTGCTTAGTGTTGTAGCACAAAAAAAAAAACAACAGCCCCCAAAAAAGTTCCCAAATACTATTTGTCCCGCTGCATGACAGTGACGGAAGCTAAAAGGAGCGAACAATGGCCATGCAAATCTCCTGTCATTGGGGCTAGCAGCAACATCGCTTCCTCAAGAATCTTTACCTTTTTCTTCCACACTCGGCTGCATGGGCAACATCCACACACCATGACCACAGCCGGTGAGGCGCTTGAGCAATTTGCCAAAGCCTCAGCTAAGGGTGGGAAGGTTGGCTCTGGCATGGTATATGGGGTTATGGCATTCCTTCCGTCGTGGTGGCAGGGCAATAGCAACGGTAGGTTGGGTCCCAGTGTGGTGACTGGAAAGCCACCCGGTCAGGTCACATTTGACGAAACTCCAGCACCTCAATGTGGCGAAGCCTGCGGCTCAGCCACATCGTCAGAATCCTTCTCAAGAGAGATTACGTCTTAGGAAGTGTCAATCAGAAGTGATCAAAACATATCAGGACCGTTTCAGATTGTCTTTCTCGACGATTGCGCACATGTTGGAACATATCCCACCAGATCCACCAGGAATGCCATTGCTTCCTTGGAAGACTTGGATGAGCTCAAGTCTCTGCCCTGTGCTTCGCCCCAGTGGATGGCAACGGCTCCTTGGGGGCAACGTTGATCAACACCGGGCCGGATTCGCTTTGAACATGCACGAGCAGTGCTCTACTGCGATGTATAGTATTGCGTAGTATGTTGCGATCTTTCTCATATCTTTTCATGGGTCAAGAATTTTACAGTGCAGAATCAGTGTAACTTGCAGTCAGCTGCAGTCACCACGAAACCTTGGCCATGAGGTCTGGAAAATTTGGATGTCTCGTCTGGAGCCGAGATCCCATAGGATTTGAAGAATGGATTTGAAGAATCATTCTCCCTTACCCTCTGGTGAACTAACATAGCAATGGAAAATCACCATTTTTAATGGGAAAGAAAATCCACTATAAATGGCCATTTTCCATTGCTATGTTAGTTCACCAGAGGGTAACTCCTTTGCCAGATATTGGTTGGCAAGCCCACACTGTAACCCCATGTAACCCCACACATCCTTTGGGGGATGATTTCATGTTGTCAGGCAAAATGCCATCGAAGACACGGAGGGCGTGGTGGAGTTTTGGGCCTCACTGTTGGATGCCCAGTTTTGACCCTGGAGATCCAGTTGAACACTGTCACTGTTGAACCTGGGGATATATGAGAGCTGAACCTTGAAATATCTTGAAATATCTTGAAATCTTGTGGATGTTGCCCAGCTTTTTAGATGCCCAAACCATCCCAAACCACTTTCCCCACGAGGTTGCAACCTCGGTGATGCAGCAATTTGTCCAGTCATTTGCTGCGTTGACTTGTACATGTTGTTTCATTTCGAGCAAACACCCTGGACGCCCTAGCCAAAAAAAAAGCCATGTGCCTTCAATGTGGTGCTTAAACAACATGTCCGGCTGTGGTGAGGCCTGCAGAGTTAAAGATCCTGCGTTATCACGGGAACCCAGGCCGTGCCCAGCAGTCTTGCTGACTGAGCAGGAAGAAAGTAATGGAAATGCCATGATACTATGTGAGTGATACCTGTTTGATCATGACTTGGACTCCGACCTGGGCCTCAGGTGTGCGCTCTATTGAACATTATCGGAAGCGACTAGCACGGATCCTGGAGGCTTTCCAACGAAGAGTGAGCAAGATTTCATGATATGTCACTAATTGTGTTTCACGCATTTTGATGTTTAGTTTTGACACCCTCCTTTGTGCTGACCACCATGGCACTTGCAAGATCTTGTGAAAGCCATGCGCCCGCCCTCAGCCAGTTGCACCGTGACATTGAAATTGGTGCAATCCAGAGCTCTGCGGCTCAGCTTCGCAGCCATCCGTTGTACACCAAGGTCAATGCACTACCATCGCCTGGGATCTCAGCAAATGGATAGCAACACCTCTGCACAAGGTGGTATATGCTGGTCCAACAGGTTGGCGGCCAGCTTGCCGGATGAGCACTTCGAATCCGAATGTTTCGAGACATCCCGTCAACTACTAGCCCATTGAGAGCTTAGTCCAGTTGAACGGTTTGAATACTGTAGGCCGTTGTTCCTCCTTAACTTGAACAGTTGTTGAACCAAATGCCCCGAGTGGTTTGGATGGGTTTGGACAGTCCCATTTGATAAAAGTTGCTATTATCCGGTCCGGTAAGAACCCTAAGAATTGTCATTTGGTATAGATAGATGGATGGATGGATGGATGGATGGATGGATGGATGGATAGATAGATAGATAGATAATGATAGAGTTACTATCATTTACTGTACCCACAGCTACGCATAGCTACGCAGCAAATTGCAAAAATTGCCGCCTTCCTCGCAGCTTTTGGCAAGTCGAGCTGTCATTGTTGGCTTCAGATGGGACGCGTGGACATCCCTTTGGGTCCTGACCCTGGCGCGGAGACAGCGGAGGCTTTTCCCCGCTGCGCGTGGTGTGGTGATGCATCCAAGACAGTCTGTGGACGTTGTAAGGTCCGTGCTTATTGTGCTCCACCATTTGCCAAGGATGCTACTGCAGATGGACAACAGCACCTATAGAATTTATAAATTATCCGGGTAGGCCCTTTCAAAGTATTAGAGGCTGGGGGACTGTAGTGGGGGAGCAGGAGGATTTTTGCTGGCCGGTGTCCATCTGCAGTGGCCGTTTCTATTTTTTACTACTTCTCCCCAGTTTTGAGCCCTGATGGCTGAAAGAAAGAAAATCCATGTTTCTTTCCCTGTCAGACTTGGGGAGAACTTGTCAAACCATGGGCCTTCCAAGTTGTTGAAACTTGCAGGTTCTGCTGAATGTCAACAGCTTGATTGGAAATCTGGGCATCAAACCGCATGCACGCCAATGGTGCAGAGGCAGCTGCCAGTGACAGAGGAACATTTCCAGTTCTATGAGGTTCCCTATGTGGCGCACTGGGCAATCAATCTGCAGAATTGGAAGATCAAAAGCAACAGCAAAGAGCACCTTGGCATCACCTTGGATGTGGCTGTCCTTTCCGCATCGCCACATGCAAATGTCGGCTAAAGTTGGAAAAGTGTGTGTGTGTATAATATAACATATATGATTATATATTAGATTATTGATGGTTATATATTTTTAGAGAGAGAGAGAGAGCAGATTCTTGATGATTCTTGTGTTCCTCACCTCCATTTCCTGGACTTTAGATGGATAGCATGACAATTATGATATAACCCTTGTATTACCCTTATTATAGGCCATGGATTTTGGCCATCGATCGCCGTCCAGGTACGCCTTTTTGCTGAGCCGCATCCCCGATGCCGATGTGCGGCGGCAGATTACCACGCAGCGAAGCTGGCCCCAAGCGAAGTTAGCCTTGGCCAAGGAACTGGCAGTGCGCCGCATGGCCGAAATTTTAACGCAGGCGCGGCGTTGTTGTCCACTGACAGCCACGACGAACTGACTGGATGTGATGTTTGGATGATAAGTTGGGAGAAAGAATAAGCATGATTTTCCTTTTTCTGATCCAGGAGCTTGTACATACCTACAAATTCCTATAGATTATAGATTATAACATATATCATCATATATACTTGAAGGCTCATGTTGGTTAATAACTAGATAGGTTATATACTAAGTAGTTAGCTATAGATACTATCTAGTTAGCTCACTTAGCTATATCAAACTTAGCGGACTTAGTATATGAGCTAAGTATGGGTATATACTATATATTTATATAATATATATGTTATATATTATGCCGCCATAATCCCACTCCCCTGGATGGCAGTGACCGGTCGCCAGCTCATCAGCACCTGCGCGGGCGAAGTTTGCTAAATATTTTCCCTAGGTGTTCCCCTATTATTTTGTAAAAAATATATGTTGGATGATATATATCATTTGTTTATATCTCGCTTACAGGGCCGTTATGTGCTCGTGAGCAGGGAAATGATAGGATATATAAATGCACATATCATGAAATAACAATTATATACGACAAACATACTTGTATATATGAATAACATGAACCAATGTTTACAGGGCATTAACATGAACCAAGGTACAGATCATTTATGGATAACATGAACCAACAAAAGTGGACATCTTGGGGGAGCAGCAGCAGCAACCTACTTGAACGGACCTTTTTTCACCGTCGGACTACCATAGCATCGTCATTTTTCAAGCTGTACATACAACATTGGACAACAGAACTCAAAAGGATCACAGCTGGATCATGTTTAACTTTGAACATGATGCCATGCACCCGGTTCCAGGGACAAAGCACGGTCAAAAACGTGGATCCATGTCTCACGTGGTACAACACCCGACCCACTGAAGATGATCCATCACTGTCGAGAAACTCCACAACATCATCCTTCTGCACGACATGGCCTCCAGGGCCTTGAGCACGAATGGATGTGAAGCATTCAGAACTTCCCAAGAACTCGAAGAGCCAATCCATCTTGCCTTTGGCAACCTTCTTCTCCTTGAAGAGAGACAAACCCAGAACCACAGCTTCTTCGCACAGCTCACGTACCTGAACATGAATGATGTCGCTGAGGATAGGTTTCTCAAAGCTCTGAGTGAAGTTGTTGACCGGGTTGCCAAATCTCTTGACGAGGCGGTGCTTGCGTTCATGGGCAAAGCACGATAACAACGTCCCATGACGCCGGAGGAACTCACCAAGATGAAGAGACATATGACATTTTGGGACCCAATACTCGTCCCCGTGGAGTGCCAAGAAGCTATCCAGATAGCCTTTGATGGCTTCATGGAGTTCAGTCCATGAACAAGACCCGCCGCGATTCAGTGTAGTTAGATGATCGAGAACTTCACACAGTCTGAGAGATGTCTGGCATGATGGGCGCACAGACGGATGATCTTCCCAGACAAACTGCACGATGAAGACTCTGATGATCCCATATGCACTGAGCAGCTCACTGGCCGAGCACTTCAGTGGCTCCACTGATGTGTCCCGTTTCCCAAAGATCTTGTTTGGCCTGGAGCCCTGAAACTGCTTGGGCCACTCAAATGATTCCAGAAATTTTTCCAGCCGGGTTGAAAGCCCAACCCGTTTGAGAGCATGCCACAGTAAAGCGAACTCACGATTGGCAATCCCATGCGCCAGAAAGACGTGGAACCAATCGAACATGATGCTTTCAGGAATCACCAGGCCATAAGTTGGGTTGCGCAGGAGGCCAGAAGGTTTCCAGTTGTAGCCCAACTGGGTCTCGAGCTGTGCGAACTGCACACTTGTCAATTTCCCATGCTGCTCCTCCAAGTACTTGACGACCTTCTGCACAGATTCGTTGGTGTGCAGCCTGAACTGAGAAACATCAGTGCATGCCCCATGCACAAGACCCGTGGTGTCCACAGCATTGTCCCATGAGTACTTGCTGATCACGTTCGAACAGCGACTGCAAAACAGCTTGCCAGCCGCCCCCTTGGATTCAACGCTCTGCTTGATTGCAACCTCATCAGCAATCAAGATGCTGAGCTGTGAGAAAAACAAGAAGGCTTCACCGCGGTAGCTGATCATAATCCCATGCTCGAAGCTGTGCTGACCAAAGAAGGTGTCCTGGGCTGTCATGACAGATATAATATATAAGTTGCCACTGTATATACATGATATATGATTATAATAGCTGGCATGGTATTATAAATAATCTGTGTGATCGTGTTGGCACAACATAATATATATATATATATTGTACATGTTATATAGTTTAAATATTATAATGTTTATAATATCATTATAATATAAATACATAATATAATATATATATATATATATATTTGGGTGAACAAAAAAACTTGCAGCAATATAAAATACTGAGCATCCAAGAGCTGAGGCCAAACATTGGTGACCCCACCGAGCGAAGCTACCACTGTAGATCTGATGACTGCCAGTGGGAACCAACACTTTTCCTTGCTCAATGCTGTAGCCCCTAGCTGTTTCCATGAGAAATAGAACACCTGAAGTTTCCTGTTGTTCTGGTGTCTCAATGCGTTGCCCAAGACAAGTTCGTCACAGTACACTATCAAGTCCCATTTCTTGTTCAACTCAGGCCTATGCTTTGAAAAAGCCTCGTCCAAAACGGGCTTGAGACCATCACAGTTTTCAACCAGATATGCCCACAAACTTACGGGGTTGAGCATGGAGACCGAATAAGTTTCCTTCGTGTCCCCAGTCAAAGTCTTCTCAAGAAGGATGGGTCCGAACCTGGTGCTCATCTGTGACAGCTCAAGCTCCCTGGCCCGCTTGATGGAAGCCCTTGACGTGGGCTCATCCTCAGCCAGTTTCCCAGCTTCCTGCAGCTTCTTCAAAGTATCTGCCAGCCCACGCTGAGAAACATATGAAGATCGACCCAGATCAGCTAGCGAGGCCATGTTTTCACAAAGGCTGTGAAAAGTGAAAAGACTGATGTATTGTGACCAGAATGGACTTGGTATTGTGTCATAGACAACGATAATTTAACTATAATTCATGTTGGTTTCATTATATAACATAATTTGATGAAGACAAACCTATAATGATAAGATCTTGGACTCAACCAAGTTGATTGTATGAGGCATTGGGGTGAAACAAAAGAGGAAACCTTTTTTTTTATTTTTTGAGTATACGATGCTGCAACCATGCCATGCCATATGACTGCCAAACCATATGACACATTCCATGCCATGAAAAAGAAAGTGAACCCCGGCCGAAGGCTTACTTCAAAGTTTATGCATGGAGTTGATGATATGTACATAAAGCAATAATATAAATATAAAGTAGATTTATCATAATATATATAATATGTATACATATATATATAACACATAGTGTATATACATTAAATATTAAATATATACATATATATATATAGTATATTAGATATATATATATATATTGATATATATTGTATACACAAATAAAAATTATATATAACATATGCAACAATTCCCTCCAACAACATGCAACATAAGGATGATGCAATATATATATAATGTTATATCATCTAATATATATATCCTACATGAAGCTGACATATATAAGACAAGCGCACACTCCAACTTTTTTTACCACCATCAGCGACGCTCACGACGATCATCATCCTTTCCTCCAGCAACTCGGGCAGCAGCCTGGAGTCCATCTGCAGCCAGAACATCCATTGGGACGCTCCTTCAGTCTTTGGTCCCAACTCAATCCTGGGATCTCCTTGCCACGGCTTCTGGTGCCACTGTGCATGGATGGTCTTTTGATGACCTTGGGTCCATGTTCGGCCGTGTTGGCAGCCGGCCTCTTCATGGCTGCAGGCTTCTTCATGGCCCCACGACCACGGCCACGCCCGCGGCCACTGCCACGTCCTCCACGTCTTCTTCGTCCACGGCCACGTCCACGGCCACGTCCACGATGAGGAAGATCATCATCTTCTTCAAGTGGATCTTGGCCCCAGGCAGCTGCCATGGCCTTGGCCTGCTTGGCTGGTGAGATCGGCGGTGGCACATTCACCGTCTCATTGGCCTGTTGCTCAGCTGCCACCACAGCAGTTGTGCTCACAGATGGCTGTGCTGGCGCCTGAACCGCTGGCGCAGGTGCAGGCACATGCACAGGAGCTTGCACAGCAGCTGTCTGCTGATTTGCATGCTGGCCATCTCCCCGCACGAAGGATGCCATCATCGATGCGAAGCTTGCCAGCTGCGACATCTGACAGGTCGTGCTGTTGGCTGCACTGCTCATGGCCTGAGGCCTCATGTCTTTGTGGCTGCCACGCAAGGGGCCGACAGTATTTGCCTTGAGGCTGTCTTGTCGTCCACATGGCCCTTCATGTGCATAGGCCTTTTGGTAGATGTCCTTCGGCAGGTCCTTGGGGTTGCCGTTGTACACATCTATGTGCACCCGACCACAGTCCTCCTGTTTGGCCTTCTTTCTGGCTTCTGTGATGTAGTTCTTGAACAGCTTCAGGTTCAAGTTGAAGGTCTGGGGGTCACTGAGCTCGTCGTGTCCGCACTGCTTCAGCAGTGACACCACATGGCCCTTGCTCGGCTCGCCTGGGTAGAGGCAGCCAAGCTTCATCAGGACATCAGACAGCTTCCTGAGCTTCACCTTCAAGCCAAGTGCACCATCGTGGATCATGTCCCACTCCTTGCCCGTCAGGTAAGGGACCAGATCCACCATCACTTGGCTCTTTCCAGAAGCACTTGCCGCTTTGTTAGCTCTCAGATATGATGTGCTGAGAGCCACCAGCAACTCTGACGCCTGAACTTCACTGAACGGCATTCCCTGGATCACCGCAGTCAGTGACTTCACCTCCTCCTCAGTCACTGGCTTGTTCAAGATCTGCGCCTTGATCGACTCGGCATGGCTTCCCAAGAGCTGGTCTCGAACAGAGCTGCTTGGGGCAGCATCGACCAAACCCTTCAGGGCTGACAGCTGTTGTG